CACGCCTCAGCACATGCTCTGCACAAAGCAAATAATCTACAGTATCAACTGCACTCTACTCCCACAGCCATGGACATGAGGCGACCAAGAATGGGCATTCTACCTCCACTAAAACCTAAAGGATTCCTAACATATTAAAGTGTTAAGCTACAAGGAAGCGCAGAATGTTTGTTGGGTGTCATCTAAAGAACTTTTTGTGCAGTGGCTGTTAAGGAGCAGAAAGCATTTATACTGTAAAAGGTGCTCAGAACATGTTTAGTCATCTAAGGTGCTGACTGCATTGGGGGCCATGTTATGAGCAGACACAATTTGGTCTTGAGCTGTGACAGCATCTGGGTGTCATCTATGTTAATCCAGTATTATGTGCAAAGGTGCTGACATGTGAGAGAGTGGAAACACATAGGTCACTCAAGCGGGACGGCCTCTACTAATTATGGTGTATAAATCTATACATCCACCCTATTTTCAAATATGCGGCACCTGTTTGGCACCACCCTGATCTGACACAGTCCCAACCTTCCGAAATTGAAAAAAAACAAAAATCAACGTAGAGTGTGCCGCTGTATTTCGCATTGATGCACTACGTGCTGATCTTGCCAAAAGAGCTTTTCATTCGACTTAGTAGGCCTAGGCCTATGTGGTTTATATCTAATAGTACAGAACAATGACTCTCAGCAAGCTCTCATGAAATTAAATATCTTGAAATATTAAATATTTTAATTTTAGAACAAATAGAATTAAAAATAGTCTACTTTCTTATCTGACCAATTTTTTTTTAGCTTTATTAATCACACTTTTTCTTCGGTACACAGCGCATCCTTGCTTAGTTTTGTCTCTCTGGTCCATTCTTGCCATTGTTAATTTCTATCAACTTTTCAACAATTGCAATTTTTTTATAAGATAAGATACAATATTAATGAATTAAAGTTCATTAGTAGTAGTGGGAGTATTTTGATTCTAGAGAGGTAATATTAGTGTAATGGTAGTCATTGTTGTGATGGTAGGGGTAGTACACCTTTGTTTTTATGAACACAGTTATAAGAACACTGAGGCTGCTTTAAAAATAACAAGGACAAATTGGGACTGAGGTAAAATTTTAAATTAGGTTTTTAATTTTTTTTTTTATTAGAAAAACCAATCTTATAGGTACTTTATGTGCCATAGGTATGACTAATACCCTCCATAATTCAGTACAGCAATACACTACTGTACAATAATGATTATTTATCTTTGAAATGTGTGTAAAATAAGAACAAAATAAGAACATGTTGAGCCTGAAATCGGCATAAAAATAGGAACACTTTGCCTGGGCAAAATTTTACTAGTTCATCTGGTATATACAAAAGCTACATAGCCTATATACATATATACACATATTAAATACATATCCAAACCAAGGGCGTCGATCCGTTGTGTACAGTGGGAGGGGGGACAAATTGTAAAATAAGGAAGTGTTGGTCCGCAAGTCCAAACCTTGGCTGGGGGGGACATGGGCAAAACCCCCGGAAGCTCTGGCGTCTGTAGCATTTTATAAATCACATCTAACTAATTTTAAGGAATGCAATTAACATTATTTCCACATAACAGTTTCAAATAAATACATTGGCGGATCCAGGAATTTGAAATAGAGGGGACAACGCGAGAGACTTTTACAGATTGAGTGTAGACCACTTCAACCCC